AAAAAAAGAATTCTCACACCACACAGACCACCAGGCATGCCTGGGGAGAAGGCAGAGAGCCTCGGGGCAGTCCAAAATCCAGTCACTGACACCCCCTGCTGGGAAATCCCCTGCTGTCACCCCACAATGCCACCTGCCCAACCCCCTTTCCCCCCCAAAGTCCCCACCACACTCTGCTCCTAGGCTGCCACTGCACTAGCCCCCAGACACTTTTGCTTGTTTCTGTCTGGCAGCCCACCGCAACCCCGTACACTGAGAGAGCCCCAAGAACAGGGGCTCTGACTTCCTCCACGTCATAGTTTCTGCTGATTACAGGGCATGAAGCCTCCTCAAGAAGTTCCTCCTTAAACCTAGAACCCACCTACCACCATCTGACTCTGGCTGAAGCACAGTCAGTCAGGGCACAGTGAGTTGTAACTGGAAAGACCAGCCCGGCAAACTCTAGAAGGGCTGTGAACCCCCCAGCCCTGGTCCCTCGGAGAGGGCCTCAGACCACATCGCCTGGAGCTGCCTGTCTGCAGGTCCCAACAAGATCTGGGTGGGTGCAGCGAGTGTTTTTCAACAAACCTTGCATATTTTCTCTCCCTCTTTAATGTACCTTCAGAAAACATGCAGCTCCAACAGCACAGATGAATGACTCTTAAGAATATTTCTACATAAGGGTTTCAGGCAAGGCACCTGGAACTCGGTGGTCCTTTTGGAATCCAGGTACAACGGTGGACTCCAGTGGTCACCCTGCTGGCAGTGCTATATGGTAGAAAGGGCTGGCACCTATCTAGAAGTGGGTTATAGGGACACCCCCCCCCCAGTGGTTATGAGTTCTGTGATGGTCACTCACCAACTAAGGGAAGGAGCCCCACTTCCGGGCCAGGTAGACACCTGAGGTGGCCCCAGAGCAAAATCTGCTATCAAGCAGTGGCCAGCACAGCCCCCACAGGCAGAAGCATCCAATACGGCTTTGCACCACCCTTGCCCTCCCCCAGGTCTGGTATCTGCCCGTCCACACGAGCCACACAGCGGCGTCCCTTTAGAACTTGGCATGTCATCTTCAGGGTAGCAGCCTGGTTAAGGGGCCACACTTGGGTTAAAATCCTAGGTCAGCCAGTTTCTATACCACCTGTGTTTCTCTTACATACTTCCAACCTTTCTGTGCCTCTGCTTCCTGAACTGTAAATTGTTTAATAATAACAGTTCTGACTTCAGAGAACTGGTAGAAGGATGTTGGAAGCAGAGCAGTTAAAATGACCTGGGACGTGGAAATTC